CTTCCGTGCCATGTTCGCCCATCAGCTCCCCCCAAGAGATGGTTTGCAGTTCCTCTCTCATTCCTAGATAGTCATCTCGCTGTTAATCTAAAAATTCATCACCTTTGACCACCTTTATGTGCTTGTATATTCGTAGTCCATCTACGATCCATTACCAGTTAGTTTAGTTCATTTATTATGCACCCCATACCCATCTTGTGGGCGGTAGTGGAAAGGGTTTACAGAGGCACATAATGGGCTCAGGGACTGAACCCCACAATTCAGTTAGGTAAGCAAGTTACAATCTTGATGAGCTAGTTACAAAATTCAATATAAGTCGTCACATCAACAATGGATTCGAGATCGACCTCAACAGCTCATGCTCAAGACGATGCCCATCATAGAAAACGTAGAGGCTGTAACATGACAAAACAAACGACGCCTAAACATATCAACAAGCAAGACTCGTGCAGTATTCCGGTTTGTAGTATCAAAACCTTCATGCAAACTGCAGGTATTGCGAAGAAGAAGAAGAAGTAGTAGTATCAAATGTCAACAAGGCGAACACTACAGCAGCCTGTAGAGTATATAAAGACAACAGATGTACACAGACTACTAGTGTGAGACTGAACAACTGGCTCAGCTCCACACATTCAGAATTAGCTTGCCATTAATACGAAGAGCCAAAGCCATTATACGAAGAGCCAAAGCCATTATACGAAGAGCCAAAACCGTTATACGAAGAGCCAAAGCCATTATAGCTTGACATTATACAAAGAGCCAAAGACATTATAGCTTGCCACTATACGAAGAGCCAAAGCATCCTTTTATGAGAATAAATTTAAAGAAGCAAAATTAAATATGATATTATGATAGATGGAATTACTTGTGTAGATTTCACTATGCCTCAGATCTACAAGAGCCACACATCTATAGATCATCCAATAAAATCAGCAGACTGCTAGACTGTTACATGTTTCTCTGGGAATTTTCATTATCTGCTGATGTCCTGATCAAATTTAAAAGTGTCAACAAAATTATTCGCACACACACACACACACTATGTGATGGAGTACAAAAGAATATGTGAATATAGAGACAATTCTATAACAAATGTTTAAGAGATGTGTAAATATTTCAGTCAAAATGATCTGCTGCTAGAAGTCTTGGCCAAATATCCCCAGTTTGCTAGCTTTAGGTAGTAACTTGAGTTATTGTAACCTATCCACCACTACCCACTGGATGGGGAGGGGGGGTCTGTGTGCAGGATAAACATATCAATTGTGACACTAGCTCTTCACATGTCAGTTGCTTAAAATAGAAACGGTACTTGTGGTTTGTCTCGACATCTTTGTTTAATTTTATAACTAGTTCATTAAGACTGTAACTTGCTTAGCTAAATGAATTGTGGGGTTCAGTCCCTGAGCCCATTATGTTCCTTTGTAACCCTTTCCACTACCACCCACAGGATGGGTATGGGGTGCATAATAAATGAACTAAACTAAAAGGAAATATGAAAATCACATGGAAAGCCATCTCCAACATCCTAGGGTCTAAACAGCAATCACATAATAAGCAGATAAAACTCTACAAAGATGGTTACACACTTGCAATAGACAGAAATTGCAACTGAATTCAATAACTTCTTGTCATCAAATGGTGCTAACCTTGCCAGAAAAAAACAGAAACCCAGACACATGTTACTACATATCTCACATGAAGCTATCTTAACTCTCTACTCCTGTTACCAGTCAGCCCAACAGACAATATATCCGCAATTCGATTACTTAAAATCAAAGCTGGTAACATTGATGAGATACCATCTATGATATATAAGAGGGCTGCCCTTGCTCTTGCGCTATCCATAGCTCATCTATTCAACAAATCTTTAGTGTCATACTTTTTCTGATATCCTTAAAATAGCAAAGAGTGACACCAGTCCATAAAGAAGGTGAGATAGCTGACATAAACAATTACAGACCAATATCAAATCTACTTTCAACAAAATTTGAAAAATTTATTTACAAACAGCTCTATTCCCACTTTAGTGCTACATAGCTTTCCCAGCTTGGTGCCTTCTTTGATAATTACTTACTCCTACTTTGCAAAACTAAATATATTAAGTCCCTGCCAGTTTGGCTAACGTTCCCAAAAGAGTACCAAATGATGACATTGTTAATCCTTGCTCTGGACTATATTCATTCCTATCTCGGTGACAGACACAAATGTGTAGCCATCAATAGCATAACTTTCCCCACTCTACCATTGACAGTAGGGGTGCCACAGGGCAGCATCTTAGGACCTCTCCTATTTCTTATATACATCAATGATTTGACAATGACAGTCAAAAAAAATCTAAAAAATGGTTGGTATACTTAATAAAATCAGATACAGTATTACGTTCCCCACTCTGCTCTCCTCTCATTATACTACTCACTAATCTATCCTTATTTTACATATGGTATCTGTGCATGGGGTTCACCCACTGAAATTACCTCTTTATCTGAAACGGTTCCTTCATAGGTGTAATAGAATCCATGAGCACCACACCAGAAATATATACACTGTAGCTCTTTTGATATCCCCAGAGTCAGACTAAATCTGTGCAAACACTCCATGCAAATAGAAGGGCCTAGTCATTGGAACTCACTCCTTGATGAATTAAAAAATTGCCCATCCCATGCCCTGTTCAAAAGTAAAACCATAAATTATATAATTTCATCCTCATAATTTTCTACCTTGTGCTTCAAACTCACACTGTATCTTGTACTATTCACTTTCTCAATACAGTATTAGTACTTAAGACATATATCCTTACCAGTGTAATCACCCTGTCAACTTATATTGTGGTTATTTGTTGATATAAAACTTTGCTACAATGTACCTTTTCATCTTACCTGATATGTTAGATTAAGGACCTGCCCGAAATGTTATGCATGTTAGTGGCTTTGCACGAATGTAACAATACCAATCTTATGTAATCTCACCGACCTATTGTACCTTCTTGCAAATAAATTATTATTATTATTATTATTATTACTGTATTATTATTATTATTATTATTATTATTATTATTATTATTATTATTATTATTATTATTATTATGGTGTGTGGGCCCAAATCAGCCCACTTGTCTGCTAGCCAGAGATCTAGCTTTTTCCAAGCTTGCCAGATTCAGGTTGCAAGTGAACTGGCAAACGTCCCAGTTGGTTCTGTTCCAGGTTCAAACTTTGCTGGTCCTTGTGTGAGACTTGGTCAGTGTTATTTTATACAGTATTCCTCTAACGGTTCTGTTCTGGCTGCAATGTTACCACCTTCTGGTAATAAGGTGGCCCCCAGATGGCTTGGCATTTGCTCGAGCAGTTGTGCAGGAGCCTAAACTTGGTACTTTCATTGGGTAGGGTGTGACTTTTAGGACATTTCTAGTTCCTCTGATTCCGCCAGAACCAGAACTGGTTTCCAGAGGGTCCTTTGGTTATTGATGTTGGTTCAGCCGGGAGTGCATCGTGTGCTGTACCCGGTGGCGACTCTTCACCGCTACCTTCGTACCACCAATTCTGCTTCAGTGTTTCTCCGGTCATTCGCAGTGTCATTATGTGCAGTCAGCCTGTGGTCTACCTCTCATGCTGCTGATGTTCAGAAATATACTGCTCTCACGGCAGTTTTTGTTAACATGTCCTGGGCTGATAATCAGACGCAGTGTTTTGGGCTATCTAAAAGAAGCCTGATGGCCCATTATTTGGTTAAAGTTCCCAGGCTTCTTCATGTCTGTGTTATCTGGGGTTGTCTCTCTTGGCCAGTTGTCTCTTCTTGATTGCCTGTAGTCTCTCATCCTAACTGGTTAGTCCCCTTGTCTTTCTTCTCCATGGACATTTAGCTTCAGGGAACCACAAGAGGCTTTTCCAGAAAACCAATGTTGAATGTACAGTAATGAAACACATCTATCTGGATAAGCCCTGGTGGCTCTCTGACTCCCTACCTTCCTTTCATGCTTGTTGGTTGGTATTTGTGGTCTTCACATGTTCCAAAATTGGTTTGGAATGCAATGCGCGACCTGGAGCTCTGCCCCCCCCCCCCCCTCACCCTTATTATACAATACAATACAATACAATTTTATTTAGGTAAGGTACATACATACAATAAATATTTACAAGGATTGTTTAACTTATAGGTATAGCTAGTACATACAATGCCTAAAGCCACTATTACGCAAAGCGTTTCGGGTATTAATGGAGGGTTGATGCTAACAAGCTTACTCTAGTTTTGAGAGATTTCATTATTTGTTTACATTGTTTTGGGAGTTAATTTTGGCAGTTTCATAGCTTTGATTCTTTTGAACCCAACATTGTTCTGTGTTTGCTGACTTTCTGGATACTTTCCTGATAATGTGGCAGTGTCACCTGTTCTCTGTGCTTCTGTGTGGGAGGCCAGATTATGGCTCTGGGCTCCGACAGGACAAATTGAACTTCGTGGCTGATGTGACTTAGTACGGTAGTTGGGAGCCATCTCAGCGAGAAAGCTTCAGGGACTCACTGATGCTCCCTCTTAGTTTTTGCTTGTAAATATATCATTCTCTAAGAACAAATTCTTCTTATTTTTTATATAATTTTTAACCATAGGCAAGGTGACAATTTTTATGATAGCCACATTTTGAGGGTACAGTACAGTACAGTACAGTACAATACAGTAGAAGGAACAGTAAAAAGTCAAAATTAAATGGACAACAAAATATGAAATGTATGTTCCTTAAGAGAATAAGGAAAGCTGTTGCCTTTGTTAAGACACTGATGGCATTAAATGACTGACATTTTTATTCACAATTTGGTCTTTGCTTTTTGCATCAAATTTGCCACAAAAAATCGATCATTAATTGCCATTGGTGTCTCAGTAAAAATATAACTTTTCTTTTCAGTCTTTGAACAACATACATTTCATATTTTATGTTAATAATACATATTGACATTTCAGTGCAGCATACTGTACTGTTTATAAAATAAGTTTTTAATACAACTATTTAATAGATCATTTAGTGAAAGAGAAGAGACTGCTGGAAAACAACCACACCAGCCTATGCCTACACCATGAAGAATATTTTATGCTGGCTCCCCAGTGTAACCCCACTGCATCTGGAACATCTTAACACTCGGTAAGTTGATATTTGGTATTTGTGTTAATACTTTGTGTCCACTTATTAGGCCATTGTAGGTGAGTAGCAGGTGTATGAATATCAGGGAATGACATTGCAGATAATGCTGTACACGCTAAAGATGAGCAATCTGGTTGTAGTGTTTTTAGTTACGAGATCCTCAACCATTTCTCCGTAAGAGTTTTGTCGCTTAGTGTTGAACATTTTCCTAAGCAAATACTAGTATTTCTGTTGCCAGAGACATAAATTTTTTTATTTAAGCTTTTCAAGGTCCTCCTAAGCCTCTCTAACCTCTCCCAGGATTTCTACCATCCAGCCCAAATACTTGGGCTGGACGGTAAAGCAATGATCTTGTTTCATGCATGTTGGCGTTCAATCACCGACTGTCCAAGTGGTTGGGCACTGTTCCTAACCATCCTGGTTCATCCCAAATCCTTATTGTATTCACCTAGTTGAACTTGCGGTGGTTGAGCTTTGCTCTTTCATCCCGCTTCTCAACTGTCAATCAACTGTTACTAACTACTAACTAATTTATTTATTTTGTTTCCTCACACACACACACACACACACACACACACACATCCAGGAAGCAGCTCTGTAACAGCTGCCTAACTCCCAGGTAGCTATTTATTGCTACCATTTGTTTCTGCCTGCTCCAGGAATCGAACCCGGGCCACAGAATTACGAGTCCTGCGCACTGTCCACTCAGCTACCAGACCCCTAAATCATGGTCCCTTCTTCACAATCCAGGGATTCCAATACCTGGAATCACAATCCCTGGGATCACAATCCCTGAGATTACAATCCCTGGGATCACAATCCTTGAGATCACAATTCCTGGAAAGGATTGTGATCCCTTCCAAGTGCTATATAGCCGTAATGGCCTGGCACTTTCTCCTGTTAATTCCCTTCTCTTCCCAGGATGCAACCCACAACAATTGTTTTACTTTTGGGTATCTATTTAATGCTAGGTTAACAGAGACATCAGGAGAAAGAAAACATACCCAACCATTTCTCACTCATCCGAGTATCGAACACGGGATCCTAGATTGTGAGGCAAGGATGTAAACCACTTTTGAAGGTGAGGTTTCCATGTATACAGTTGACTAACAACTTTCTTTACATTGATGTAAAAGGTTCAGTTGATTATTCATAAGGTTTGGTTATTTTTTTAATACTGCTCCGACTCGTTGAACAACTCTCAATGGCTGGTGGATCTTAACTTCTAGGTCCTTTTTCTCACATTTATCTGATGCATGGTTGTGTTGTTGATTTGATAGTTATGATACATATTATAACCTTGTATGCCTTTCATATTTCAAGACTGAAAGCATGTGCCAAGTCTTCTGACCAGTTGTGGAGTTCATGCAGATCACTTTGAAAGTCCTCAATATTGTTTTAGCTTTCCACTTAACCATAGATCTTTGTGTTATCTGCAAAATTGATAGTGTGCTTTTTTTTTGGGGGGGGGGAGTCTCCTCAAACCACCAAATATCTGTGCAGTTAGGCTACATACTTCAAATAGTCTTGCCACCATACCAGGGCTGCTTATGTCATCATCTCTGCTGACATTGTTGCCATGGGAACTAGCTGCACACCTGGTCTTCCTTAAGGCCTTTCATCTGGTGTTTTGACACATGTCCTGGGATTTACACCACTTGAGTGTAACCTACCTACCCCGGCACAAATTGATAACCGTCTCCCCACTCTCCAAAATAAATAATCTCTTCCCTACGGTATGCAAAAGATGAGTCACAATAATGTGGCTGTAGATATGATGACCAAACCACACACCAGAAGATGAAGAAACAAAGACGTTTTGGTCCGTCCTGGACTATTATCAAGTTGTATGTGATGGGAGAGAGATTCATTGATGAAGATTAACCCACCCGAGAGGTGGCACAGGCATGAATAGCCTGTAAATATAAGAGAGTAAGACATGGGCAATAAATAAGGAAATAGTGAGGTGAGGAGCAGGTAAGAGAAGAAGGTAATTCTAGAAGAAGGTAATTCTAGAAGAAGGTAATTCTAGAAGAAGGTAAGGTGTTGGGAGCAGGTAAGAGAAGGTAAATCCTAGAAGAAGGTAAGAATAGATGGAAAGGTACGGATGGGATGAGTGTAACAATGGGATGAAGGTAAAAGGGGGATAGGTAAGAATAAGAGGTGGGTAAGAAAAATAAAAAGGGGGGGTAGTTTAAGTCAGGTCATGTATATCTTCCATCACATACAACTTGATAATGGTTCAGGACAGACCAAAACGTTGTCGTTTCTTCATCTTCTGGTGTGTGGTTTGGTCATCTCTCCTACAATACTGTAGTTGTGTCTAAGCACGGCGTAAATGTGTATATTCAGCGCAATACACTAGACAAATGATTGACAAGTGGAGACTAGATGACAAAAAACAGAAAGATAAAATAATCAAATAATATTTAATAATAAACATACAAATGAAACAGAGTCTGAACTTTGGCAACATTCTTGGGAACGTATCATGCCATGTAACAACTGTTTGCTGGGCACCTCAAAAACGGATCACACTGGATCCTACCTCCATTTATTCTCATTCATGTTACACGGTCTATAAGGCTCTACACTTATTCTGTAGTCAATAACAAACATAATGTTTGTCTCCAGTCAATTATAATAGTAAATCAAGCTGCAAATTAATTATTAGCTCTAAACTCTGTACAATATTAATATAAAAATAACATTATTGCTGTCATAACCTAGTGACATTAACTTCATTGAAACAAATAAGTTTGCATCTCCTCGAGTGCTCACTTAATTATTAATTCTACCAGATGATATTTCGAGAGTCAACACACTGAATATAGAAGCATATACAGTATAGGCTGATAACATTAATTGTAATGAAAATAATAACTACCGATTTGTTTCTCAGAACAGGACAAGGTGAGTGGGAGGAAATTATGATCTACCTTTAACCTGGCCAAAGTCCTTACTCTCATGGTCAGCTTTACTGACAGGTGATCATCAGGTGAAATCCTCACTACTCTCTGCATTCTACCTTAGTGTTCACGTGTTACTTGTGTTAACAAGTCCTTTTTATTTCTTCCACCTTCGTACCCACAACTGTGTCCTAAATGCTGCTCCTCCCAGCCGCTAGGTAATAAGGGGACAGTTACGACAGATGCATGGTCTCTTCCTTGGAATGAGAAAACCACTGTGCCTTTCCTACGTTGTATACAACCAAACCTAATTCCACTGACAACTATGGACTGTGTGTGTGTGTGTGTTTCCTTAATTCCCAGCTAGGGTATCACTAATCCTCATATTTAGAGTCAGCGCTGCAACTTGGCATTTCAGGCAACCTTCCTTTGGTCATCGGGACTTTTTGGTGGCCTTTTCTTGGTGTGAGTCATCTCGTATCCTCAGCTCCCTGCACCTCGATAGATTGGGCCAGGTTTTGGCCTCTGGTCCCCAGGAGGCTTGTAATGACTCATAAGAGTGTGGTGTGATTCAAATTGGGTGGAGCTATCCAGGTTGCTAACAATATGGAGGCACTATAGGAACCCTCCGAAAAGAATATTACTTTACTAGAGTATAAACAATGTGCCTAGCATGGAATGTGGGTAAAAGGTATACAAGTAGCTCGGGATAAACCCTTTAAGTTCAGAAGAGAACTGAACTACAGTTCATGAACTACACAAAATATTTTTGCAACATTTAATGAGAATATTGTATAATATGTACTGTATAAATGTTCAGTACAGTCCTGTATTGGAAAATCTCTGGTATGTGTAATATTGTATTGGTAATGAATGTTAACAGAAGAAAATAATTCTTAAATCTTAGAATAAATAATAATACATCTTAGAAGTACACTGCCAGTGTAATAAATCTTTGATGACAAAACCACACACCAGAGGATGAAGAAACAACGATATTTCAGTCCTTCCTGGATCATTATCAAATAGATTAAATTGCCCATGTCTTCCTCTCTCCCATCACAATTGAGTTGATAATGGTCCTGGATGGACTGAAATGTTGTTGTTTCTTCCTCTTCTGGTGTGTGGTTTGGTCATCATTTCTTCAGCCACATTATAGTGACTAATCGTCTGCATAATAAATATTTGACTGATGATGTGAAATAAATACTGTACTGTATAAATGTTCAGTACAGTCCTGTATTGGAAAATCTCTGGTATGTGTAATATTGTATTGGTAATGAATGTTAACAGAAGAAAATAATTCTTAAATCTTAGAATAAATAATAATACATCTTAGAAGTACACTGCCAGTGTAATAAATCTTTGATGACAAAACCACACACCAGAGGATGAAGAAACAACGATATTTCAGTCCTTCCTGGATCATTATCAAATAGATTAAATTGCCCATGTCTTCCTCTCTCCCATCACAATTGAGTTGATAATGGTCCTGGATGGACTGAAATGTTGTTGTTTCTTCCTCTTCTGGTGTGTGGTTTGGTCATCATTTCTTCAGCCACATTATAGTGACTAATCGTCTGCATAATAAATATTTGACTGATGATGTGAAATAAATACGAATGGTGAGATTGAAGAGGATGCTTTGGAAGTGTTATTATGGAAGAATGATTAATTACCTCAATAGATCTGAAAAGGGAATTACTGTACATGAATAATTGGTTATCAAAGTTAGGATGTGATTTCAGAGTGAACATAATTAAGTATATTACAGCAAGTCTTGAGTAGACTGGCCATCCTGAAACTTTGGGATAAACCATTACTGAGCTGGTGCTAACATAAGTTGTGGGTAAAATTTAACAGAAAATATACTGGCAATTATGATAATTTCAATTCCTATTCTGGCAGAAGTGGAGCATCCCCTGGAGTGTGGCTCGTGATGCTGGTGCCTCTAGCATGTAGTCCAGGCTTCTACACAACTTACAACACTTGCACTCCAACACCTCTATTTTTGGCATTTCTTGCACTTCAGGTATTGTGGTTATTGTACTTTTGATACTTGTATGTTTTCATCGTATACTGTAAATATTGTAATTCTAGCATTGTAAACACTGGACTAGTGGATTATAATATTTTCATTTGTTTCTGCCCAAGATAAAAATCTTCTACAGTATTTATATCTCTTTTTGTGTGATGTTTTATAAGGTGATTCGGATTAGATGCCCTTCATTGTGCTTCCTCTTCAGGGTTTTTGGGTTCAGTGCCTTGGTGACTCCCTAATGTGTTCACAGATGCCTCTTCTCTCGGCTTGAGTTTTTGTGACTAGTGCTCACCAGGCTGGCCAGAGGTGGTGGGCTCCGTCTTTCCGTCGGCTCACAGCATGGTGCAGGAGTTTGCGGCTGTGTGGCTTTTGCTGCGGCGGTTCGTATCGCTCGGGGCTCTATGATCTGGCTCCATTCGAACTACGCCCCAGTGTGTCTGAACCGCAGGGTCTTGACGGTCCTTGGTTCTTTGGGGCTAGTCGCTTCAAGTGACTCGTCTGCTAGATTCTCGGGGTTTAGCTCTCCATGCGGTTCACATCCGAAGAGTGTCCAATGTCCAGGCGGATGGCCTGTAACAGTTCATACCCCTGTCCACAGAATGGATGATCAACGCCGATTCTTTCATTTGGCTCTGCTGGACGTTCTGGCCCCCGGAATGTGGACCTCTTCACATTGGCATGGTCTGGGCGTCTTCTGATACATGTGGTGTCCTTCCCAGACTGCAGAGCCGTTACGATGGACAATTTCCAGCAGGACTGGTCGAGGTGGGGTTACCAGTACCTCTCCTCCTGGTCCAGCTGTTGCTTTGGGTTCTGGCTGGTTCTTATCACAGGAGATTCGTCCTTGTGGCTCCATGGTGGCTGGCCCAGCCTTGGTTTCAGGCGCTGCTTGCTCGGTGTCCGAACCTGGGGCGTTTTCCACGGTTCTGCTTCTTCTAGCAGATTGGACTGGTCTGGTACCTGGCTGGTTTGATCTACTCCTCCTCTCTTCGCGTCTAGTCTTTTTGACGCGGGTGTATCACCACTTGTATGGTAATCAGGTGGCTTCATTGACGGTGTCCCACCTGTGGTCTTCATCTCGGCGACAGTATGAAGTGTCTTGGCGATCTTTTCGCCATTTCCTCTCTCTCTCCATAGTTTACTTCCATTTCTGTTCATGGTTGCCTTGTCTTTTCTTTCTTGGCTCTTTCAGGACCATCTTATGCTGAATACTGTCGCCTTGTGTCGTGCGGTGCTGGCGGAGCCGCTCCAGTTTCCGTTCCATAAGCTTCCTTGTGCACTGTTTCACCTCCAGTCTGCTCATGCACTGCCTGAGACATCCTGGTCCTTGATCAGGGTGCTCTTATCTTTCCTCTCCTCCGTTTATGGTAGCCCCTTCGGTTCAAGATTGTTTTTCATAGGCCATATTTTGTTGGCATTGGCCTCTGCAGGTCGGGTCAGAGAGCTTCCAGCTCTCCTCCGGGGCAGGGGTTTCTGCTCTTTTGGTACTGGTGGTAGGTTTGTACATTTGCAGCCTTTCTCCGTCCTTCTGGCAATGGCCGAGTCGGCAGCTTTCCGGAGGGGTCCTTGGGTTATTGATGCTTGGTTGGTTCGGCCAGGGGTGCGTCATGTGTTCTGTCCGGTTGCGGCACTTCGCCGTTACCTGCGTGCTGTAGCTGGGGGATGCGCTTTGGGTTGATCCGGTTCCCCTCGTTCCCTGTTTCAGGGCTCGGGTCTCCCAGGTCATCCGCAGGGTTCTTAAGTCTACCAGCCTACGGTCTCTATCCTTGCGCCCGTGCCATTCAGAGCTTTGCAGCTTTCGCTGCCGTGTTTGGTGACGTCTTGGGCTCATTTCGGGCACGGGGATTTGGGGGTCACACAAGTTCCTGGCTGCTTGTTATTTTGTAAGCGTGTCTGCTCCTGTGCATTCTTGTGTTGCTTTGGGTTGCAGGTTGCTGCCTGTTGTCTTGACTTCGCGTTGCGGAGTTTGTGGCGACCGCCTCCCGGGTCAGCCCTTTCTTTTCCTTCTCTTTGGGTATGTAGCTCCAGGGAGCCATAGGGGCTCCCATAGAAAACCAGCGTTGAATGCAATGAAACACTATTTTCTGGGTGAGCCCCGGAGGCTCCCTGCCAACCCTCCCTCCCACAGGTTGGCGGTTTTTCGCATTGGTTGAAGTTTAGCTTCCGAACTGGTGCTAGGCAGCCGGCGCGGTGAGGTCCGGGGGCCCCCCTTCCCCCTCTTGGGGAGGGGGAGGGCTGAGCGGACGAGCGGCACAGCAGTAAAGTGTGATGTTTGCTTCTTTGCTTGTTTCCTTGGGATTGTAGGGAGTTTCTACCTCTCTGTTCGTTTTTTTGTTTTAGTTTCTTACCATGTGGGGATTGTTTTGTTATGCCTACCTCTCTGGGTGCCTAACCCGGGTCGATGGCAGATAAGGAAAACCCCCAACAACAAGGGAGTTTTCCAGGGCTATTGCTCCCTGAAACCTCTCTGAAGGGGCCAGGTTCTGGCGCTGGTCCCTGGTAGGTCTGAACTCCATAGCTAATGTCCCAGTCTAATATAACATACATTAGCCCGATAAGCTCCAGGGAGCCTCTGGGGCTCACCCAGAAAATGGTGATTCATTATATTCAACGCTGTTTTTTTTTTTATTTCTGGTGCACAGCGGTGTTGATGGCTATTAAGCCCATAGCAACATAAGGGTTAATGTCAGGGAGCCATCATTTGACCTCTCCAGAAAACCATTGTTGAACATAATGAACCCCTCTTTCTGGTAAAACCTCTGTGGCCTCCTTGTCCCTCCCTATTTCCCTCCTTCCAGGTGCATTGGTTCACGGTTTTTCAGCTCATGACTGAAGTCTGTTGTCATGGGAGTCAGGAGCTCCCTAGTGTTGCCATCTGAGCAACCCAGAACATTTACAGTAAGGAATGAGCAGAGGCAGAACTACTAACGTGTTATTTGATAAATGTCATATTAATAATTTTCCAGTATTGCTCTGCCATCTTCTCCAGGCACATGTTATCACCATTCAATGAAAGTAGGAGATGAGGTATGGCTGATGATGAGTAGATAACGGCTACTTTATGACTGTCAACAGGTGGGAGTGTGTGGCATCCACTTGTGCAAGCATATGTGTGTCTCAGGTGCTCACCACAACACAGAAGGTGAAGATATCAAAGCCTCCCCCTTTCTACTGAGATTTCTTATCCATCCATACACTCCAGCACTAGCCACAGCTGTTTCCCTCTCTCTACTTTCGGATATCAGTGAGTAGATATCGTTGTAGTTAAGAGTACCCACTAATCTGTGTTAAAGTTTTCAAATCAACAATAGTGCAGTTTCATATATAAAAATGTAACTGAATTGTTTGTGTAGTTTCTAGGCTATGCCAATAGGTCTAGATGGCATAGTAAAGTAATTCTTATTGTGCAGTTAAGTCTCCATGTATCATGCATTTTGGTTTAATGGTTTTGGGTCCTGTAGCACAGTGTTTTATGTCCTTGCCTCACAATCTATGGGACGGGGGTTCAATGCTAGACAGGATAGAAACAGTTGGTACATTGCCTTTCACCTGATTCCTCTCTTTATTAAGGAGTTAAATAGGTACCTGGGAGTTAGGCAATTATTGTGGGTTGCATTGTGCGAATTCAGTTGTTGAGCTACAGGAACCTTGATAAGCTTACATACACGCTGTCTTTCCCTGACAAGAATTGTAACTGACATTATAAGATAATATTTGAAGAGTACATTAGTCAAATAAAAATCAAATTTGTGCTGGATCATGGATAAATCCAATAGTTAAAATTCTCTATTTTTTGTGTTTTACAGATTTTTTGAGTGCAATATTTTCTACAACATTATGCACATGGATTGTTTATGAACTGACACATTGGTTATTAAGAAGTTTCCCTGGAAGCTTCAGCCTAGGAGAAGGAGCCATGGTTGGCCAGACAGGAGCTCTTACTATCACGTGTTCCCTCTACTATCTTCTCTCCACCACTCTACAGCAGAGGAAAGGCTCACAGTTACAAGAAATTAGTATTTTTGTTCAGGTACAATATATATATAGCATACATGTTATTATCCCTTAGAATGCATAACTGAAGTGCACTTGCTAGTATAAATGGGAACAGTGTGACCAAAATTTTGTGTACTGTCACCAAATAAGCTAGATTTACTCAATATACTTTTGAAATGGTGTTTTAAGATATAAGTAGATACTTGAATAATTTTAGGTTTCAAATACTGTACTAGCTTTTCTGGGGGTAAAGCCTCTTGGTGGTTCCTTGAAGCTATCTGACTGAAATAGCTTCCCCATTAGTAAATCACATCAGTCACAGGCATCTGTTGGCCTACTGGAGACTGGAGCCAGAACCTGACCCTTCAATGAGGCAAAGAGAGCAGGGGAATGTTACAATCAACCTCTCTGGGAAAGCAACCAGAGAGTAGACGAGACAATTCAGAAAACTGCATGGTTAAAAAAACGAAGCAATGAAACAGCCAACAGACATTTCATAAGTTTAACATAAAACAAAATAATTCACTTGAAACTGGGTATGAAACACCCTATAGTGCATAGAGCCACTAGTAGGTGGTGCCTCGAAGCTCTTGGCTTCAAGGCCGGCAACTGCTCAGTTCTGTTGATTGTGCAAGCCCCGGTTGGTCTTTCCAGTCGTCTATCAAGGTGGGTCCAACTACTTTTTAAAGGTAAGTGACAACCATTGTTTAGACTTTGGCCCATTTGCTTGTGTATCATTTCTAACCTTATGTATTTGCTCATGTGCATGTGTTTACATGCCTCACCTGTTGCATGGACTTAGCATACTATGAATACTAAGTCCATACTTAGTATATTTAGTATTCAGTACTACATATACTAAGTCCATACTTAGAATACAGTATACTTAGTATACTATGTATACTAAGTCCATACTTAGAATACAGTATACTTAGTATACTACATATACTAGGTCCATACTTAGAATACAGTATACTTAGTATACTGCACTATGAGCAGTATGTATTTAGGCTGATCTTTCCCTATGTGCTCATTTAGCAATGCCCATGCACTTACAGAGTTACTTCTCTGTTGTGTTTGGGAGTGCTGCTACCTGCACCTCAGTGAAGGGATCGGGACTTCTTCTACCCTTCTACACATTCGCTCCTTGTACCTTCCTCTGCTCGCACCCCCACCTTCTTTTCTCCTGTCTGGTTTGCACTTGCCTCCTCCACGTCCTTCGTTCCCCGCCCTTCGTCTCTTGCCTATGTCCCTCACTTTCTTTACTGCGACGACGCTTTGCGTTCGCCTTCTGTTCTCATTATTCCCATCCTGCGTCCCTTTCCTCTTGTGTAATTTGCCTTTATCCTTGCCCACCTTGATGGCGTTGTAATCTTCTTGACTTGGGCACGTCGTGACCGTTGATGTGTTGTTGTGCATTGTCATATACTCATCTTTCTACATTCCCACTCGTGCAGTCATTGGGAGGATATACCTTCATGCAAACTGCATGTATTATGAAGAAGAAAGGACCAGGTTCTGACTCTGGCCCTCAGTAGGCCTCTAGAACTCTACAGCAGATGGTTATCAGTAGATGGAAACCATCTCAGCATATATATTCAGGAAGCCATTGTGGCCTACCCAGAAATTGGCATTTCATTACATTCAGTGCTGGTTTTTGATGGGGCCCTCAGTAGCTCTCCGCCCTGATTTGTTTTCCTTCTGTGTGGGTTGGGAATTTTCTTCTAGGGTGGCTCAAGACTGATTTGTTTGGCTGGCTGGAACTATGAACTGCTGGAGCAGCCATCTAGTGGCAAACTGGGTGACAAAGCAGTGTACTGTACTTGGTCCAGTAACAACTGTTTATATGGTGTCAGGACAACAGATGTTGTCCATGCAGTTGCTTCTTATGGAATGCTCTCCCTACTGTGGCGATCTTAGATGACCAGGTTTCTTCCCTTAGCCTCTTTGATGGAGACAGAGTTTGGTCCTAGTTTCCTGTAGGTGAGTGGGATACTCTAAGAGGCCTATTATGGTTCATAATTCTTGGATGTTACCATGGCTGAAGCATGGGGAGCTAGTAAGGGCCCACCAGAAAGAAACATTTCATTATATTCAACATTAGATTAATATATGATTTCTCACAAAGATATAATGTAGTACATTGTGAGTTCTCACAAAGGCTTGATAGTGCATTATGAACTCAGGCAAAAGCACAATAGTGTATTGTGAGCTCTTACATAGGCATGATGTGCATTGTACGCTCTCAGAAAACCAATATTGTGTATTATGTGCTTTCAAGGCATGATATTGCACTGTGAACACTTGCAAAAGTATATTGTGCATTGTAAGCTTTCACAAAAGCAAAATATTATACACTGTGTGCTCTTACAAAAGCAAAATATTACACACTGTGTGCTCTTACAAAAGTGTGATGTTGTAGTGCAGTACTGTTAAATTCGAAAAGAATTACTAAAAATATTGGCAGATCAGCTTTAATGCTCCATTCTTAATTTCAGACAGCAGTTCTCGTGTTTTCTTCAATGATTGTTGGCCTATTCAAATTTCCACTTTTGCACACTCCTCGAATGTTTGTGCCGTATATTTGTGTGTGTGGGTCAGTTGGGGTAGCAGTATCCTCATTGTTACTGGGAGAGTGGGCACCGCTGTGGCTGTTGGATGTGATGACGGCGACTCCAGCTAGATTATCACTGCTATGCTTGTGGTCTGGGTTAGCAGTTTTGAGTGCAGGCATTACCACCTGGGCCAGAAGGTAAGCCAGTGAAGAAAGTTAGATTTATATATTTTTGTATTTCTGCAATAAAAGGATGGGAAGATTGACTGGGGGACCTGTACAGGCATGCCTCCAAGATCTGAATTGTATTGTTCCAGACCTCATTCACATTTGCATGAAATCAAAAGTTTTCAGAAATATGCTCTTTATCTTTGATTGATCACAATTTTTTCTGTATTTTCTTATAGAAAGTAATACAATAAGTGTTCATGCATATTTAGACACACAAATTAAATATAAATAAGGTTTTTCTGGGGGAGCCTCTTCGGCTTCCTGGAGCTGTCCAGGCTGATATGTAATATATTAGAATTAGGCATCAGTCAATGTGAATGGAGTTCATAGGCCTACCGGGGACCATGAGCCAGAACCTGGCCCCCTCAGAGAGGCACGAGGAGCAATGGCCTATAGAATAGTACATGTGATTTGGAGCATTCTATGTCTGCTACAGACTGGGTCAGGCACCCAGAAAGGTAAACATCCCAAAACAAACCCCTATTTTAGTTTAAATTACTACTGAAAGTCAGACGAGTGGACAGAACTCCCCCACAGAAAAAAAGCAAACGAATATGATGTCACCACTTGCTGTTCCGCTGTCTGCGCAGCTCCCCCCTCCTCGGGAGGGGGAAGGGGGAGCCCCAGACCCCTTGCACATGCAACCTTCACCTTCAGTTCTGAGGCTAGATGTCAAAACACGCGGAAAGGTCGCCGACCGGAGGTAGGGAGGGATGCCGGGAAGCCTTCAGGTCTCACCCAGAAAATTGCTTTTCACTACATTCAACTCTGGTTTTCTGGGGAGAGCCCCTTCGGCTCCCTGGAGCTATCTGCCCAAAGACAAAGACAAAAGAGGGACAAATTTGGGATGTGGAAACCATGCGCCCAAACCCAAAAGCAAGACAACTGGCAACCCTGAATGAACCCCATGTCCCGGGGGGCTCAGCTTTTAGAAGTTTGGTTGGTAGACTTGGGCGCTGGTTTGCAGTACTCTGCCTGGGCATCCCTTAGCGATACCAGTCTAAGGGACCTGGGAAACCCCGCGCAGGTGCAGGGGCCCAATGGATGCCCCCCCCCCCCTGGGTCCCTTCTCGCCTTGTGTGAGTTTGAGTGTTGTTCTGTGTCTCTTGTCTCAGGGTGACTCTTACTGTTTTTGCCTCTGTCATACTGCCTGTTGGGTCGGTGACACCTTTGACCCAGAGTCCTACGAGTTTTGTTGCTTGTTACTGACTCCATTCACCCAGTCCACTGATGACTTTATACGGGTGCAGGCAGCTTAGGCGTTGCATGCTAGGTTTAGGGTTGCTGCAATGCTCTAGGTTGATTGCTGCCCCAAAAGCTCAGAGGCTGCCCCATTTTGGCTATAGGGACCCGGACTTGGGATTGTTGGTCGCTTTGGCCTTGGTTCAGTCTGCACCCCCTCGTTCTTCCCCTGCTGTGGTGCATTCTGGTCTTCCCCCCCTTCTCCCGGCTCTGAAGTGTCTTAGGGCTTTGAGGTCGGGACAGGGTTTAGCTGGTTTTGAGACTCAGGCAGTCTCGGGAAATGCCCCTTCCGGGATGGCGATGGAGGCTTTCAAGTCGGTTTCTCTACCCGTGGCGTTGGGGTCTGACCGTTGAGCCCCCTCCCTTCCTGCTTTTCTAGCTGCCCCGGCTTTTATTTTTTTTTTTTTTGAGGCCAGGGCTTTGGAGGACGACTCGGCCCCGGGGTCCTGGTATGGAGGTTCCTCGGGGTCCTGGTGTGGAGGTTCCCCGGGGTTGGGGAAGGGCTTACTTGGGGGTCTTGGGCCCCCTTGGACCCTGCCCGGGTTTTTCTACCCTTAGAGTGGGTACTGTTGCAAGGAGTGGGATTTTCTTTTTCCCCTCTGCCTACGTGTTGGATTTGGTATCGGTCCTTCCCCGGGTTCGGTTCCGTGTCCGACATTCCTCCTCGTGAGATGCAGGAAGCCATTGCGTCTTGCCTCCTGTTCGACCCAGTTTACCCCTCTATTATGCATCCGTCTTCATTCAGGTTTTGGTCTTCTTCTTCTTCTCCGTACTAGGTTCGTTATGAGGTTCCGGAGTCTTCCTGGCTAATGGACTGCCCTATGTTGTCTTTGGATGCTGCGCGTGCTTTGTTATACCGCACGCTTGAGTGGTGCGAGGTGTTGATGGTGGTCCAGGTTTTCCTGGGGGTCGAGTTTGGGCACCTCACTGTGTGTGTGTTCACCCCTGCCTTTCCTCGGGATGCTGGCGTGGTGCAGCTTCACGTGCAGGTTTCTTCCCTTTTCGCTGCACTGCTTGCTGAGGACTTGTGCGCTCGTGGCCTGTTGGCTTCAGTCTTGCAGCTCTTTTCCCCACCTGGAGCTTTCCTCGGATCGGCTTGCGGTAGGTGTGGAGGCGCTTGGGGCCGTTCCTGAGTCTGGTGCCTTGGTCTCAGCGGCATCGTCTGCTCTTTTGGAGCTGTTTACGCCAATCCTACGGGATGCGATGTTTCTGTTTTCGCTCTGCGCCTCGCGTGTCAGCAGGAGATGCTCGCTTCTTCTTTGGAATCAGATTGGTCCCTGGCTCTTAGGTTTCATCACTTTTTTGTCCCTTGCTGTTTGCAGATTCTGCAGTCGGGCAGTATCTGCGGGCAGCTTCTTCTTGTTGCCGCCCAATGTCAGACTTGTTGGTTCTTCGGGGGGGGGGGGGGGGTCTCCTCGAAGGGGTCGTGCCTGGGCTCGGGGGTTCCCTCTTGTCGTGGTAAATCAGCGGTGCCAGTTTCGGGGCCAGCACCACCTTCAGAACCGTCTGTGTCACGGTTCCGTGGGCAGTGTGGTGATCGCTCTACTTGTTTGTCGGGTTCTCACAAGTCCTTTTGCGGTTCGCCCCGTTGGCGGGAGCGAAGGAAGGGAGGCTCACGCTGTTCACTCATGCCTGGTCTCATGTTTTGTGGGCTTTTTGGGTAGATTCAGACGGCCTGCAGTGGCTTTGGGTGGCTCCTCTTCCTTTGGGGGGGTTTGGGACTGGCGGTGTGGGCCTCTTCTCCTGCACTCTGTCGGGTCGTCTTGAAGTGGGTATGCTTGGGCGTGGTTGAAATGATGATGTCCCTCAGGTGGGTTTCTCGTCTGTTTCCAGTCCTGAAACGGGTCTGTGCGAGCCTGAGGTTTATTCTGGACTTGTCCCGTCTGAACCCCTGGGTCTATTGCCCCTCCTTTCGGATGACTACTGTCCCAGGTCTGGTCTCTTTTGGGGACGAGTGCTTGGTTGGTGTCCCTGGACCACGGGGACGAATCTTGACATGCCCTGATTCATCTGGGGTTCAGGGACTGGCTCGGTTTTTGTTCTGGGGTGTGTCGGTTACCGCTTTTGTTGCCTTCCTTTTGTTGGCTTAATCCTGGCACCTCGCATGTTAACACGCCTTACCCGGATTGTGGTGGCCTGTCTCTGTCTGTAAGGTGTTTGGGTGCTGGCCTACCTCGACGACTGGCTGGTATGGGCTCCCAGCCAGTCCATGTGTCTGTGCGCCAGGGATTTGGTTCTTTCCCAGCTCGCCAAATTCAGGTTCTTGGTGTACTGGAGGAAGTCCTGTCTGGTTCCCTCTCCGGTTCAGCCTTGGCTGGGTCCTGTGCGGGGACTCTCGGACTGTTTTCTTGTCTCTCCCTCCGGCATCTCTGCTTTTTCTGCGGTCCTGCCTTTGCTTTTTTGGGGACTCCCGGGTCAGCCGGTGGTTGCTCGAGGGTTGTGCGGGAGCTTGAACTTGACGTGATGGTTTACCCGCTGGGTCGGGTTTGGCTTTGTCGGCTGATTTGGGTCCTTTGCGGATGTCCCTTCCTCGTCTCTAGCAATTGCTGTGTTCGACCTCCAGAGGCCTTGCGTCGGCTGCTGTGTCGCCGGCTTCCCCTTCAGGTTTTTCGGGGTTCAATGCCTTAGCGCCTACCCGAGCCCTCGCTCGATGCATTGTGCCTTGGCTGGGGCTTTGTGGCCAGTGCTCACCAGGCCGCCCAGAGACAGTGGGATCCGTCCTCCCGTCGGGCTCACACCATGATGCGGGCATCGTGGTACTGTGGTTGTCGCTCCGGAGGGTTTGGGTCACTTGCGGATTGACAATCAGGCTCCATTTGAACTGTTTCTCGATGGTTCTTGCCTGAACCGCGGGGGGTTCGATGTGGTCCTTGGCTCTTTAGGGCTGGTTGCTTCGGGTGTCTCGTCTGCTGAGTTCTCGGGGTTTCTACTTTTGGCAGAACTGGTCGAGGTGGTGGTTCCCTGTACCTCTTTTTCCCAGTTCAGCTGTTGCTCCTGGTCCTAGCTCGCTTGGAGACTTGCCAGAGGTGAGTGGTCCTCTTGGCCCTGGGTGGGTGGCCGGCCCAGCTTTGGTTTCAGATGCTGCTTGCTCGGTGTCTGAACACGGGGGTTTTTCTGCGGCTCCGCCTCTTTCAACAGCTCGGACCAGTCCGGTTTGTTGATGGTTCGATCTTCTCTTCGAGTATTCCCCTCAGGTCTTTTTGACTCTTGTCTATCATCATGTATATGATGATCAGGTGGCTTCGATAATGGTGCCCCACTTGGGTATTTTGACTTGGCGGCAGTCTGAGGATTTTGGCGGTCCTTCTGTTTCTTTTTGTCTCTGCGTAAGTTCCTTTGTTTTCTGTTTACATTGTCTTGTCCTTCTCTTGTGATGGTTCAGGACCGTCATCTTATGCCGCATACTGTCGCCTCATATCATGCGGCGCTGGCGGAGCCGCTGCTGCTTTCTTTCGGCATTGTTGTATCAGCATTGTTGTTACTTCTCTTTCGCAAGCTGCCTCGGGCATTGTTTCACCTCTGGCCTGCTCCTGCGCCGCCTGAGCTGTCCTGGTCTTTGGACAGAGTGCACTCTTCTTTCTCTTCCCCTTGGTTTGTAAAGTTGTAAACAACCTTTAGGTTGTTTCTCCCATGACTCTTTTTTTTATTTTTCCTCTTGGCATTGGTCTCTGGAGGTCGGGTAGGGGAGTTTCATGCTCTCCTCTGGTGCAGGGGTTTCTGCTCTT